GACAAAAACTGCGGGGAACTCTGCAAAAAACGCATCTTCGCACGGCCAGCCCGTGCGTTGGCCAATAATCATTACCTGGCCCCATTTTCATGCGTTTTTGCCTATATGCAAATTGCAAAAACGCATATTGCAACGACCCTGCCTGTATGTGTGTATATGTGTGTGTATGTTTGTATGTGTGTGTGTGTGTGTGTGTATGTATTCGTCTGTCCGGACATTTCAACTCGGCAACCAAGCAAGTTCCAGCGCCAAGATTTTGCTACTAGGTTCCCCGGCCAAGTGTCACCCCAGAACCGCGGTACCAACTCTTATGCAGGACTGGCCCAGCGTACGAGAGGGTGGAAGTTTTGATGGGAAAATTAATAACTCGGGAACGAGAAAAAATCGAAGGTTGAAATATTGAGGTTATTTTCCCCGTCCACATATAACTCAAAAATTTCAAATTCAGCTTCCAGGTGCGCGTGGTTCAGCCCCGCGAGATTTTTCGGCAGGAAAATGGTTAACTCGGGAACAAGCAAAGCTGAGAAGCGGAAAATTTCAGGGAATTTTCCCAACTCACGTACAACTTAAAGTTATCAAATTCAGCCTCCAGTCATGCGTGGTTCTCACGCACGGCCCCGCGAAATTTTGTGGTGGGGAAGTGGCTAACTCGGGAATTTACGGTATTGAGCGCACAAAGTGGGTGTGAAGAAGCAACCGTTAATGCAGTTAACCTAATTACTTCGAGTCTGATGCAAAATTGCATAATCGCACCGGCTCGCATGGTGCGTTCCAGCCTGGGTTGCTCTTTCCAAAGAAAGTATGTAAAATGGGTCGAGCCGAGAGAGAGAGAGAGAGAGAGAGAAAGAGAGTTGTTTCTGAAACTGACTACGTATTCTTTGTAAAGCGTAAAATCATCTTTTGAGTCACTTTGTTCTGAAGTCATCCTGCGCCTGGAGCTAGTTTTGTCCACTGAAGTCCAAATTTTACGTTTTCATGATTCTGCATATCACAGTTCTGACACTGCACTTTTTTGCTGTTGTTGTTTAGTATTTCAGTATA